CACACACACACACACACACACATCCAAATACCCAAATCTTGGGCTTCCACACACTGGTACATGTTCATGTCTTCAGTTGTATGGCTCCCAAATCACAAACATAAAAGTGAGTTTGGGTCTGAAAGTTTTCCAACTTCAGCCTCACCCTTTGCCTATACCAGCACCTTCATTTCAGTGTGTGATCAATCATGAAGGTGCAGAGAATGAAAAAGATACTTGAGAGACTTAGTTCCATCACCAAAAGGCCCAGAGATGCTTCCCCAGAGTCTCAAGAAAACAGCAGTGAGCTGAGACCTCTGTGGCTATTTATTTCTAACTAAAGAACATGAGAGCAAAGATATGGAAGAAACACATTTGCAATGCCCATATTTAAATTTTGGTTATGGGACAATGATGTAAAAGAATGGCCTTCTATGTGAGTTCTGCCAATCTAGTTTAAACAAGTTTTTGGCCTCAAGCTATTGGGAGAGCAGAAGGGAACACTGTGGCCAAAGCAAACATCTCTAAGCATAACTTGTTCTTAATTCTGCTGACTGTTGTCCTGAAGATCTGTTCTAAACTTTGACCTGGTCTTCCAGAAGCCTAAGGCTTTGTTCTAAGTTCCCTTCATCTTTATACATGGACTTCAACCACTCCTTTGGCCAGGGTCTCTCCAGACTTTCTCATTAACTTCCACTTCCTCATTTTAAGGGAGTCTTCTGATTACTCACTCTTCCTTTCTAGGACGGTATCCTCCCATCATAAATAGCTTTTGTCATATTCAGGTATGGTTCAATATATGTAAGTCAATAAGTTAAAATACATTAACAGAAGCAAGGGGGCGGGGGAGATTTCTCGGTGGTCTAAGTGCCTTCCTGGCAAGTACAAGGACTCAGGTTCAGTCCCTGGTACTGCATGCTGTGTGGGCCCTGCCAAGGCAGCCACCAAAACTGGGCATGGTGGTGTATTCCTGTAAACTCAGTGCTGAGGAGGCTGAGACAGGAGGATTAATTACAAGTCCAAGCTTCATAACAAGACCCTGTACCAAATGAATAAATAAATAAATTTTTTTAAAAACAGAAGCAAGGTCAGAAAATATAATCATATATATAGTTACATTCTGTTAATGAATGGAGTGATTTGTTCTAGTGGTGTTTGTAAATAGGATCACAGGTCCGCATCTTGTACAGCAATTAACCACTAGGAAGAATATATGCAGTGTATTATTTGTTGAAAAAAATAAATTAATTAATTAATTAATTAAAAAATATATATATAATCATATTAATAGATGCAGAAGAAGATTGGCAAAATCAACACCCCTTAATGATAAAAAGCCCTGAAGACAATAGGTATAGAAAGACCATACCTGAATATGATAAGTGCTATTTATGACAAACCAATAGCCAGAATCATGCTAAGATGAAGAAATAAAATGGACACACATAGGAAAGGAAGAATACAAATTATCATTATTTCCAGATGACATGGTACTCTGCATAGAATGCCAAAAGAACTCCACCAAAAAACTCTTAGAACGAATAACCAAATTCAGTGACATAGCAGGACATAAGATCAACACACAAAAATCAACACTGGGCCAGTCAGATAGCTCAGCAGATTAAAGCACCTGCTTAGGAAGGTGCAAAGACCAGGTTCAATCCCAGGCATGCCTGTTGGCCCTACCCCCAGGAGCATGCTGAGAAGGCAATTTAGACTGGTCATGCTGATGGGCACCTGTAATCCTAGTGCTTAGGAGGCTGAAAACAGGAAGATCACTATGAGTCCAATCTGTGTAGTGAGACCCTGTACTAAATACATTTTTTTAATTGTACAGAAAAAATAATCAACAGCATCTGTATATACCATAAATGATCTGAATGGGAAGGGAAATTATGAAAACAATACCATTCACAGTAGCTTCAGAAAATGAAATATCTAGGAATTAACTGAACCAAGGAAGTGAGAGACCACTGCAAAAAAAGCTACAGTCCTCTGAAAAAGGAGATTGAAAAGGATATAGAAAATGGAAAGATACCCCTGATCTTG